AGTATCTCCGGGCCTACTGTCATGACCATCAGGACAGCTGGAGCCAGTACCTATCCTGGGCCGAGCACGCCCAGAATTCCCTGCGCCAGGAAACCACCGGACTCACCCTATTTCAATGTGTGCTAGGTTACCAGCCACCCCTGTTTCCTTGGACCGAGGAACACTCGGAAGTCCCAGTGATAGATCACTGGTTCCATGAGAGCGAGAGGGTATGGGACTCAGCGCATATCCATCCCCAGCGGGCCGTCCGGAGGCACCAGGCCAATGCAGACACTCGTCGGTCCGACAATCCCATCTATCAACCAGGGGACCAAGTCTGGTTATCCACCCGGGACATCCGCCTCTGGCGGCCCAGCAGGAAGCTGAGTCCCCAGTACATAGGTGGGGGTCGTCCTCACCGTCGGTCTCTGGCGTCGGGAGACGCCCGCGGGGGGGGGAATGTCACGGAAAAACCTGCCTCACCAGCCGAATACTCTCGCCGAACCCGCTCCGCCGGGAGGTCCAGAGGGGAAGAACTATGTCAATGTCACGGAAAAACCTGCCTCACCAGCCGAAACAACCTCCTACACCCGCTCACAATCTACTGATTACTGATCACGGACACCTGCACCCAATTGCCACACCAGTCAAATACACACTCACCTCAGTCACTCGTCGGCTGGTCTCAAGGTTACAAGCTTCCCTGTATAGGTTCCTGGCATCCCTATCTGCCTGTCAAGCCTCGAATTCCTCAGTTCTCGGCCGGAGGACCAAAGTGCCAACCCCAGATAAGACCATGTTCTCTGCTTCCATTAATTCCTAAGTTTGATTCTTTTCTGTTGGAAGCTACTCCTAAGTTGCTTTTAATAAACTCCCCTTCTTACGTTAACCTGTCTGTTTGCCTCTTTGTCCTGGATGTGACAACAGTATTTCACTTACATTTCAACAGGCTTGTTTTAAAATAGACTAATATAGTGTAATTTTTTTTTATATTGTGTATAAACTAGATTTACTTTTACTTGTACATGTTAAAGAAGTAAAAAAAATATAATACAATTTTAATACTAAACTGTATAGCCACTAGATGTCTACATAGCCATATATATACATTATTATATATATATAATAGTTTTTATTAGTTTTAACTTTAAAGTCATAGTTAAATAAAAGTACTTAGATCTTGCTTTTTTTAAACTTTATTTACATATGCAACTAAAAGGAATCCCAAGTAATCAGATTACATTACTTTCATATTGTGGTACTTGAATTACGTAACTGAATACATTTTGAATGAAGTAATTTGTAACTGTAACTGAATACATTTTAAAAGTAACCTTCCCAACCCTGAATATATCACCATTTAGAAGAGTAATAGCACTACTTTTCTAAACAAGCCATAGGTTTTGAGGTCTGGTACATGTCTGCTACGGGTTAGCCTACATGCTAGGGGTAAGGGGTTAGTTAAATTATGAGGAACAGTAATTGTAACGCTTGACATATCAAACAGCAATATGGTCTACATCTATGATCTAATGGCCTAAAACAGAGGAAATAGCAGAAAACGTAAACGTTTTAAATGGGATCTTTTGGCTGCCTGCAGATGGCGCTCTAAAGCAGAGCAGTTCAGCTGTGTGACAGCATGTGTCAATCCTGAACCAGCAATATGACAGCTTCAAGAAAAACTTCAAGTCATGGCAAGTGTAGCTTTGACAACAATTATTTTGTTTTCTGTCTGTCAATCAATGTGACTCCAGGGGAAAATATGATGTCCATTGAGATTTAGGCACTGGACAACATTAAAATAAGGTTTGATGACACGGATCTGTTTAATTATTTTGGTGCTTTTTATGGTTCAGGTTAATTTAAATATGATTATGAACATCACAATGAACTTTTCATTTCCATTTAATTCTCTTTTCCATGTTTAATTAAAATGTCTATTGAAAAAGTGAAAAGGAGAAAGAATTCATTCATTATGACAATTGTGATTTCATTTTAATATTCAAAATATATGTCTTTGTACAATATTTAAATATTTCAAGTACATTTTCATTTCATTTACAAAACCATTTGAAATATTTATTTTGTTTGAGCCTATTTAAAATATTCAGACAAAACATGACGTTGATATAAAATGCAACGTGACAAACAATGACAATTTTTCAAATCCAAGGCATTTGGGAAAACAAAACAACAACAACAACAAAATGATCAATAAAGAATTAATAACTGTCAAATCCCTTCTTAAAGCATACATTCTGGTGTAATATTATTGCAATCCATAAAACGGATGTGCTAAAATAAGACAAAGATGTGGATGCAACACTTACACAAATCATAATTCATGCGAACAAAGCCGTGAGAGTGTGTATGTGTTTTAAGACATGATTAGAAGACTCTTAAGATTCGTATATAGGCACTATTTCCTCCATCAATTATTATAACTCTCAGTGACTAATTCTGTAATTGTACAATCTATTCATTTAGATTTATTATTTGTTTTTAAATAGGTAAAGTCTGAATCCAACTGCAGTGTAAGACTGTTACTCAAAGACAAACTGGGCCTACGGATAAAAAAAACACAGGATTTATCAAATGATTCTAACAAATTAAACACAATGAAATGTATGTTTACAAGTCAGCACTATAAAATATATTCTAATATAATCTCATATTAATTGAAGAGCTAGTAGACAGCTTTAATCTATTATAAATTCAGGGCATCCATTATGCAGAAACTGGATATTTCTCTGATTCATAATAAGTGTTAGCTCCCATGAGGAAGGTGAAAAATATTTAAAAAACATGAAAAGTCTTTAAATGTGTGATTTTTTTTCATAGGCTGTGAGTCCTCTGCTCGATGTGCTTCATGTGTGTGTGGCTGTTTGAGGTGGTTTGGTGTTTAAGTCCGAGGTAATGGCTGGTTAAAGCCATCTGATGGGCTGAAAAAGCCATTTTGGTCCAGTTTTGAACATGGAGAGGATTCCTGACTGCCTGAGCGTCACAGCTCCTCTGAATCCACGAGGACTTTTTGGGACTGTCCGGCGCCGTTGCGATTTCAGCCAAAGACCAGATCTTTGGTTTCTGAGGAGGACTGCCATTATTTGAGGGCTCTTGTGCTGCTGGACTCTTTTTGATTTGGTCCTCCTCTCCCTCATCCGAGTTTGTGTCTTTCATAATATCGTTCATAAAACTCTTCTCAGCTCCAGCGTCATCATATTCCTCAGATGCATCAGAATCAGAAACTTTGGACACTGATTTTTCATCGTCCTGATAATCACAATCCTGCTTGTCTTCGATGTTTTCCGTGTCAATGTTCTCCAGGTCTATTTCCTCGTCCTCGTCCCTCTTGTCTCCGTCCTCGTTGTCACTCGCATACACATTTCCTTCCTCGTCGGTTCTCGTTTTGGGAACCCAAGTCATTTTATTCTCTTTTTTCAGTCTTCTGCGGGCGTTGGCGAACCAGGTGGACACCTGAGTGAGGGTCATCTTGGTGATGATGGCCAGCATGATTTTTTCTCCTTTCGTGGGATAAGGGTTTTTCCGGTGTTCGCTGAGCCAGGCCTTCAGGGTGCTGGTGCTCTCGCGGGTGGCATTCTTGGGTCGGGACGGATCACCAAACTGATACTGGTGTCCGTATGGGTAGAAGGATGCATGAGGAAACCCTGCATGCTGAATCCCAGGACTGTCTTTAAACTCGTACTGTGAGCCCTTAGACAGAAAGAAAAGCGAGTATATATGAGCACATGTGGTTCTGAGAGAAATGCATGCTTATTTACTGCTAAATCTGTTTAAATTCATTGGTGAAAGATATGCATAATACAAGGAAAGATAAAAAGAAAACAATGTTTAAGAAAAAAATAATTTTTCAGTGTTTTATTAGTATCTTACACTGAAAAAACAATAACAGAAATATACATTTGATACATTATTTTTTGTTTCCTTAATGGGACCCTTAAAAATAACTTTTGCTATTTTAACTTAATGTAGTAAGGTTTTGACTCGAATAAACCAGTCTAACTATTTAAAATTACAGTTTTCGAATTCCCCAAGGGCTCTTGGATTGCTTTTGAAGATTAAATAAATAAACTATATATATATATATATATATATATATAATGATAGAATGTTCAGGTAGAATAAAAATGCATTTCAATACCTTTTATTAACTTGCATAGATAAAAAAATCAACGTAATGAATTTGTGGACCTTGACAAACGTTCTCTTAGATCCAAAAAGCCTTTTGGTTCTCAATCTAAGCTATACTTTTCTTTAGGTTTATTAAGTACAAAGTATTATATGCGTTTTCAGAAGTGAGAAATATGCCATAAGGTAGCAACATTTTCCAATTGTAAGACATCCTAATTTTCTTAAAAATACATTTGGTTTCTGGTTTTTATTTATTTATTTATTTTTTAAGCACCAGTAAATAGATGTGAAATAAATAACTAGAGAATAGATAGTTATTTTCGGTACTTATACAAATAAACTTACATTTTATTTTTAAGTAATGCAGTTAACAGGTCATTAGAGATGAACCAAATGCGAACACTATTTATAAACTTTCAAAGATGCTTGTAAATACAAATGATTATTATATTTTTCAACTCAAGCGTTTATCCTCCACGAACTTACCAGCTGATTGAGTATGGAGAGGTCGTTGGAGTAGGGCAGGAAAGCGCTGTATCCCTGCGTGCTGGCGAACGGAGCTCCGTACATGCTGGAGAGGACGCTGCAGAGAGAGCCCGACGCGCTCAGCTCCGCGCCGACGCGCGCACCGACCGCCGCATGCCGCTCCGTGGAGTACAGCGGTCTGATGTACTTATAGCCGAGCTGCGGGATAGACATGCTGCTGCCAAAGGTCCGAGCGATGGAAAAGAATCACAGATCTCGCCTTTGACACGGAGGACTGAGTGGAAACTCACGGAGAGTCTCGCTGAGAGTTAAAGCCGCTCTCCGGTCTGAGGTGGACTGAGGTCACATTCAGATTGAGTGAGATTGTTCACAACACTCGTGTGATTGACATTTCTAGTGTCTCACAGGCCCCTCCCATCTCCGAAAACTCTCTCTCTCACTCTTTCACACACACACACACACACACACACACACACAGTAATGTCAGTCGTCGTAATCATATCGAACTTTATTTTCACGCAACCGAATAGCCTATTATAACCCTGTTCCAAAACAGAAACAAGACTGCGTATGAGACGAAACTAAAGAAAGAAACTTCTATGCGTAACATGTGCCAGGAATTTCCAAATCACCATAAAAAAATGTTAATTACAATTTTAAACATTCTGACATTATTATTATGACAATAAAATGGGGAAATATTACGGCAATATGGTAATTGGGAATATGGGAAAAACATAGTAAAATAATAATAACAAAAAGAAGAGCTTTCCTTATTCGTCATAATAAAAACAAATATTTCTGCAAACTGCGATGGATTATACAATTATATATGTTTTTTAACATAAAGACTAAATCAGAGAAACAAGAGATTCAATATTGAAATTCCAGAAACAGATTAAATAAATCCCGAAGAGACATATTGGTGCTTTATTGTCCTCAGAAAACAGTATGTAGCCTAGTGCTGAGATTACATCTCCATCGGATTATTATGAACACACCACAAATCTTATTACACAGAATCGAATTCGCTTTATAAAAGAGTTTTTTATCCGGCAAAGCAGATGATAATATCACTATTCATCGACATGTGCTTAAATGAACACAGAATAAAACACAAGTCAGTGAAATAACTGCGTTTACGATGGTTGTTAATTTTTAAAACTAAGAGAAATACAAAAAAAATCATGATAATAATAAATAAATAATTCGAGTTTATTTTCTGTTTACGAGATATTCATGATCATTTCACTGCTTGAAAAAACAAACCACGCATATAACGTCGTAGTTTATATCTATAAGTTTATAACAAGATTAAAATCACAGTTTTATGCACAAACAGCCATGTCCATAGACACACACACACACACACACAGGTTTGTTTTTATGGTTTATGGGGACTCTCCATAGGCATAAAACGTATGTGCTATTGCCCTACACCAACCCTACCCCTAAACCTACCCCTCACAGGAAACTTTCTGCATTTTTAGATTTTCAAAAAAACTCATTCTGAATTATTTATAAGCCTTTTGAATTACGGGGACACTGAAGATGTCCTCATAAATCACCTTCTCGTTGTAATACCTACGTCATACCCATGTTATTATACAAATTTGTGTCCTCATAAACCACATAAACATGCACACACACACACAGACTTGTCTGGTCAGCTATTCTTGTGGGGACTCTCCATAGGCATAATGGTTTTTATACTGTACAAACTGTATTTTCTGTCGCCCTACACCTAAACCTACCCCTAAACCTACCCCTCACAGGAAACTTTCTGCATTTTTAGATTTTCAAAAAACATTCTGTATGATTTATAACCTTTTGTACCCGTGGGGACCTCAATTTAGGTCCCCACCGTGACACGAGTCCCCATGAGTCTGTGTGTATTCAGGTTTAAGTCCCCACCAGAATAGAAAAACAGGCACACACACACACACGTCTATCTATCTATCTATCTATCCTCCATAGGCATAATGGTTTTTATACTGTACAAACTGTATTTTCTGTCGCCCTACACCTAAACCTACCCCTAAACCTACCCCTCACAGGAAACTTTCTGCATTTTTAGATTTTCAAAAAACATTCTGTATGATTTATAACCTTTTGTACCCGTGGGGACCTCAATTTAGGTCCCCACCGTGACACGAGTCCCCATGAGTCTGTGTGTATTCAGGTTTAAGTCCCCAGAAAAACAGAAAAACACACACACACACACACACGTCTATCTATCTATCTATCTATCTATCTATCTATCTATCTATCTATCTATCTATCTATCTATCTATCTATCTATCTATCTATCGCCTAATTGCAAATATTACACGTCTGTAAGATCAGGAGAAAATATAGACAGTGATTTCTAAATAAATAAATTAACAACAACAATAATAATAATAATAATAATAATAATATAATACAGATCCATTTTTATTTTGCATTTTGGTGGCTCAACAACGAGTTGTAAAATAATTGTACTATCACGATACTGGTTTTACCAAATCTTTTAAAGCAATATATATTATCCAGTCCAGGAGAGCTATTAAACTTCTTCTTTTCACCAAAATCAAGGACCTGAATGATTAGTATTATTGGTTTTCGAGAAATGTTGATTTGGCCGTCCCTCAAGCTGATGTATGAACATTTCCACTGAAGGAACCTCTGGAAAGCGCAATGAAAACAGAACATAGCAACACTCTCAGGACTTTTATTAACTTGCTCCAAACGCTTGGAGATTCAACTCTCTATCAAGAGCTCATCAGCAGCGGCACTGATCACTGCAGACTCTGGAAGCAGTTCATAACCGCGGGGCTTCTGACGCTCCGGTTGTTTTGGCGAGTTTAGACGCGGCGCAAGACCTGTCAGCAACGATTTGGTCGAGTGGCAACGAAAAAGAAATAGTGTTAGCAGATTATCTGAACATCCTAGCCTCCCATCTTTTGCACCTGCTTTATTTTAGCAGGCAATTGGAATCTTGAGGAATCAATACTCCGTTCGCGCTTTTAGCCAAGAGAAACAGACTCCTTATGGCAGTCAAATGGATGACTTCACAGCCAGTTATTCCTAAGTAATAGATACATTGCGCTCAGCCACCCTGAAGAGACAGAAACCCCCCGTTTCCCCAACAGGAGCGTCGCGCGGCCGCGTAAAGGGTCACGTCGCAGGTTAATGTAATGCACGCTCGTGCAGTTTGTTTTCCTGCGAAGTTTAGATAAGTAGCTGACCAATGAAGCTTGTAATTACAATATTCCAAAAAACTGGTCCCGGATCAGTATATAAATCTCTCCATCCAATTACAAGATGTAATATTTCTGCACTCAAGCTGGTAATGAGCTCTAATGCCTGTGCTGGAGTTAATCCCCCTCGGATGCAGCACAGATCAGATGTTGCCTCTGTCATTAGACTGGCAGAAAATCATTATTTCATGTTCAAATAGAAAATGAGGTTGGTGGGGAAGTTAATTTCTCTCTGCTCTGTCAAGCATGGACAAGAATTTAATGATTTAATTACAGTTGTAAGCTCTTTGGATCAGACTTAAATGGAGCCTAGGGTTTTTTCTTGTCTTTCTTTCTTTACCCTTTCTTATTCGGCACAGTTGTGTAAAAGGCTATGGCGATTCAAAGCCTTTGACAGGAGCTCAGAGAGAGCGGAGATCTTTGTGAGCGCTTCTGATGTCAATATTAATTGTCTCGCTTGTTCAACAACTTAAGTAATACCTCTTCACCCTTGATGACAACAGATGACAATTACAGGAAATAGGCTATATTTCAAGAATAGTGCACTCAAAATTAAGTTGTTAAATGTTAAATGGTTAATGGTTTTCCTTCTTCTGTGGAAAACAATAGAAGATGTTTAGAAGAATGTCCAAGCTGCTCTTTTTCATACAATGAAGGGGAATGGAAACTCAGACTGTTGAGCTCCAAGATGATACAAAAGAAATAGAAAAAGTGGAACTGAACTTATGCACAAGTCTTGTCATACATTTGTGAAGAAGAGACAAAAATGTAAGTTGTTATTCGAAGTGTTGTTGATTTTATTTAAAACAAACACAATTATCATTTTTTTTCGCTAGTTGAAATAAAGCTGAAATAATATATAAATATTAGATGAAACACTTAAACTTATTAAAAACGTAAATGAAAATGAGAAATGTCTTATGCAACTGATATAAAATGAGCTGAATTATTAAAACTTAAAAACTAAAACAAATAAATGAAAATAAATATTAAAAACATGAATAAAAAAACGACAAAACATGTCACAAAATTACTCAAATTGAAATTAAAATTAAAATTATAACAAACAAAAATACTATATATACAGTAAATAATAGTAAAATAACACTGGTTATTCGCTGAAAATATTGCATCTGCCATAGCGCTCACATTTTAATCTGCTTTCTTGTCTGTTTGAAAAGATTAAAAGTTAACGGCAACTTAAATGTAGGTCCTTTTGGAGCTTGATGGTCTCACTGATGTGATAGTTATATGGAAAAGAACTGCACAAATATTATTTAAAAATTATTTTTGTTGTCAACAAAGTAGATTTCTTCTCTTTACAATCTCAAGTGTTTCTCCAGCACATGACTTTGGTAACACTTTATTTTAGGGACCAATGCTCACCACTAACTAACATGCATATGACTAGCATATTGGCTGTTTATTAGTTCTTATAAAGCACATATTAATGCCTTATTCTGCGTGACCATATTTTAGATCCCTTAATCCTATACGCATGCTAAACTTAACAACTACCTTACTAGCTATTAAAAAGCAGCAAATTAAGAATATATTGAGGCAGAAGTCATAGTTAATAGTTAGTTAATAGTGAGAAAATTGGACCTAAAAAATAAAGTGTGACCGAGACTTCTATCCTTCTATCATGTTTCACATCTCTACACCAAAGTTGACAATCAAAAGTCAGAGATCACAGTCTTGACTGAATATGCAACTTTTCTCCTCAAATCATCTTTTAAGACCATATTATATCAGTGTTAATATAACACTCTGTACTCTTACACCAACAATCTGGTTTATGTTTGTTTTTATTCCCCTTAATTGGTAACAAAGCTAACACTTAAATGAAAGGTAACTGACAACTTTATATTCTGAGCCATACAAGAGCAACCTTTAAGCAATAAAAAGACCCATTTCCAGGTTTTGTCAGTGTGTTTTCTTCCCCTCACTATTATATGAAGGCCCTGTGTGACTTCACTGCTGTGTATAATGCTGACATTGTCCACAGTCCAGTGCGAATATGCAAGAATAGATTTTAGTATTCAGAGGCTTTA